AAAATCAAGATCTCATGAAAAACAAAGTCTGCTACAGCCTTTCGTAAAAGATGTTCGCTGTCGCAGCGTGTCAGGGTTTGGAATGTCTGTTCAGAGGTAAAGGTACATGCTACGTATATCAAAAGTCAAAGTCTTCGTCTCTCTGTAGGAAGTGGAGACACTCGGAAGTAATTCGGGTATTAGCACCTGCCAATAGCTACCACGCGCTTGCTAGGTTATCGTTAACGCTTTTTTTCGAGGGTTCCAAATGGGGCAGCTGTTAACGGTTTTGATTCTTTTCAAGTATAAGCCCTGTACCAATTTAGCATAGATTTACTGAATCACAAAGGGTATGACTGTCCCAGCGGCGAACTCGAACCTTTCATTTTGATCAGTATGTGTGCAGTTCTATTTTCCACTTCGCTAAGCCCGCCAGTAACAAATGAAATAGCAGACTTGACTGTAAGAAATCCATTTATAGATGCCGTTTTTCGACTGTTCGCCAATAAAATCACCGTCACTAGTAAGCACAATTGCTCGCTGTAGTAGTTCGAACATAGTCGTTACGCTGCCATCAGGCGGGTACTCCACCAGTTCTGTAACATTCCTCTCATTTCTCTTTGTTTCACCAGAATTCCGAAAAAGCACTTCAATTTATCTAATGTTTCAGAATTCTGACAATGAAATCACAAAATTTTATATAATTTTTTGGTCCTTCAGCCAAATCAAAAATTTTATAAAGTTTCTGCTATCTGTCATTCTAGAATCAAATCTAGTTAAGACGTGTAACATTAGAGTTCTGAATTAGTCATGGTTCTGAATTCAGAACAGAAGTAAAGTATTTTGAATCTGATTTAGTCTGAGGTAAAACTTTGAACGCGAGATAGCATTTCTGTAAGAATGGGCGAGAATATTTTGACTTAAACAAAAATCAGTCCTTCTGACCCTTTTGTATTCTTAGGCCAAACACAGGAGGCGAAACAATTTAAGAAGATAAGATTTAAAGGTCTTCTGCTTCCGTCACTGCAAAGCTGAGGGTCTCTGTTCAGCTTTCAGTCTAGTAGAAAGGAATTATCAGGCAGCAATATGCGTCAGGCCTTTCGGTGTAAACATGCGTTTTTGCAGCCTGAGATTTGCCATATTTCTATGCGAGAAGTTAGCAGATGCGTTGAAGCTGCTATTACGTTTTTCGTGCCCCACAGAATCTGGCGGTGTTCTCATAAAATACCAA